ATTAAATTCCAGTTATTTAGTTCTGCGGTCGACCTCCCATTGGTTTCGGATTTCCTAGTTCGAATTTGTTTCATTCCATTTACAAACTTAACAGTGATCTAATAATCTAAAATATTTTGATCGTCAATACAAAATAAACTATCTCTGTTTCATGTCAAGTTCTCGAATTGGGGGTAATAAAAGTTGATGGTCGGCCAATTTCTGTAGCTTATCTCTTGCAGACATCTCCGGGTTGGTGGTATTCGAAGGAAGAGAAGCAAGTTTGTCGCATTTCGTACGGACCGTTTGGCGTGGCGGTGGAATAACGGATGGCCGGCACACAACAATCGAAAGCAATTTCGAGATAAAACCCTTAGCGCCCGGACAGTTTCGGGCAATTAAAGTGTTGCGGACGGAGAAGCACACATGCGCCCAGCTGCGTGATTGACGATGGCCCCAAAAACCACTAAAACTTCTTTGGCTACTCTAACCTATCGTATTACAACACACGTAAATAATTCATCCGGTTCTCGTTAAACTCAATTCTTGGAAAACGTAATCAAATTTTATTGTAAAAATATCCAGCTAAAGAAGGAAATAGATTGATGTTATTAAAATGTTTACTTCAACTTTTTCTTTTATACCCTTAACTCAACTTTAAAACGTAATAGCTGCCGCCACACCGACGTGAACGTAACACAAGCTTCAAAAACTTGTAATTGATTCAAGAAGAAAACTTTGTTCCGATTTTGTAAGGTTGTTTTTAATTTAAGTTAGGCTATTACGCGATTCGTTCCATATTCTTACTCAAAAAGAATCACTTTTCAAATTTTTTAGTTAAAACACTTTACGATAACAAATTGATTCAGGCGATATTAGATGATATCGTACAGTTACTGTCCTGAAAAGTAAATTAAGTACACAACACTTGAATGAGATATCGTTTATTCTCACATCGCCGAGGTCGCTTGCGGGCGAGGCGCTACAACTGATACATTATAAATACAAACTTGAACTCAGTGAGATTTTGCATTTAGGAGCTATGATATCAATTCCATTGCCTCGTGTTCAAGCGACCTCGGTGATATAAGATGATATCATCGTTCATTTTGATAATTTTTTAATAATAATTGACCACCATAAGAGTCAGTCTTTCACCAACCTTTTATCCTTTTAATTTTAGAGATTGATTACTGCTTAAGTGTATTCAATTACTTTTATTGTTATAAAAAAGGTTTAAAAAAACTCAGTGTTTAACGTGTTTGTGTCCTATAAATGACCAAAACAAAAATCAGTACTTGACAGCATAGTTAAACTGATTGTATCCTGTCTAGTATTTGACCGTTTGGTCAAACACTAATTTTTAATTAAATTTAGAACTTTAGTAGTCTTTGACCGGCTTTATTTTAACAAATAATTAATTAAAGCGGTAATTTTTTAATATAACCAATAGAAAACGTTATTAGATTACTGGTAAACAAAAAAAACACCTTACATGCACAAACGACTGAATAGTACTATGTACAGTTCTGTTCAGATATAATGCTAAAAGAGCCGCTCGTAGAGGCATAAAATTGTACTAGAAACGACCTACGTTCACGAGGCATTCAATCCAGGTTTTACCTGCTCTGTAGTGTTGTAAAAGTTCCGAACAGGCAAGCGGGGTGATGTGATTTATAGCCAAGATGACTTAATCAGAAAATTAAGAAAATAAATAAGTATAAGCAATCCATTTACTTTACACAATTCCTGCAGTAAATGAAAATAATTACTAATAATTACTGTATTACTTTGGTAATACAGTGGAACGATAAGTCGAACCTCATAAGAAATGAAAATTATATATTGATAGTAAGTTATATATAAACTATACATATATTGAAATATATCGATAACCATTTTAATATAATAAAATCAAAAGTCAATACAATATAAACTGACCGGCAAAAAAAACCGGCCACTATAAATTTGCCACAACTTCAAAGCTGGCTTTCTCGCAAACCGCGCATTCGATTTTGATGATTCTTTTTTTGATGGAAAGGTTGATTCTTCTGTAATAATCCTGCGATAGAAATTTTCGTTCAGATTTTAATTTGAGCATATACGGGGTGAGAAAAATGAGAAAAACTTTTATTCTCGAAATTTGTAACACCCTGCGGGGTGCAGCTGCTACAGCAGAGGGTATTACCTAGAATCAAACAGTAGCCCAATCTTTTCTGAGCATTTTCTTTTTTTATTTACTCTATTATCTCTGTTACTAACGAAGATGCAGCATTTTAAAGCGATCGCCTGTGAAAACAAGATGTGTGAGAATAGTAGCTGATGACCGTTTTATTGTTCTAAGCAATCGTAGAACGACAGCTGCATAAGCTCAGCATCGTCTTCAAATGGTGCGTGTTGTTGATGTCAGTGAGAGAACCATTCGCTGAAAACTTGCTAGAACTGGTCTGGCTGCAAGAAGGCTGCCAAAGGGCCGAGGCTGCTTCTTAGATATCGACGTGCGCGTCTTCAATCTGCGCGCTTACATATGAATTGGGAGATCGAGCAATAGAGGAATGAGTAGTGCAATGGAGGTCCTTTTTACGGATGAGTAATGGTTTTGTCTACTACACAGTAAAAAATAATTACATGGTCCAGTACTGGTAATTTATTGCCATGGATATTCATGTAAAAAGTTACACGTATGTAATAGCAAAATAAATGCATATCTAAACAAGCGCATTTTCCATTTCCATGTTTATACTTTTCGTTTGTGATTGATGTAATTTTACTTCTTAACCCAGGTAATGTACATGTATTAACAGGTAAAAATGACTATATTTATATGTAAAATTACTTGTGCTATGAATATTGTAGTTCGTCTGCTATGTAATAATTCATTATTCAGCCCTGTACATTTACATAATTTTAAGCCAAAACAGATCCAAATTCGTTTTATGTCCAAATTATGAAAGCCAATAGTTTTTCCACCATTGTTATAATGTTTTACAGACAAAAGCATTAAAAGAATAGTGGAAAAAGTGTAAACTTTTACAATTTTAACAGACAGCAAACTTGGAACACAAAAACTTTGTGTACAACCTGTATACGTACTAAAGGGCACCAAACAACCAAACACTAAATGGACAGATTAAAGTGGTTTTTTATTATTATTATTATAAGAGAGCGCGTATAACGTTCGACGATTCATACGTTATTAGACTGTACTCGGCACAATGATGTCAACGCGTTGTGCGTAGTTGCAACGCTATTCGGCCGACTGAACGCAGAAAGTGGTGGTGGGGCCATCCCGTATTTTACATGTTCGTAATAGTAATTTTTAACAATATTACATGATTTCCCAATTTATTAAATACATTTACATTGTTTTACTTGATTTTCCATTTATTTACAGGTTTTTCCTATAGTTTACATTGCTTTGTGTAATTCATATTAAAAAAATGTAATATTTTGTAAATTTACTAATTTCCTGTAATTTTACTTGGTATTAACTGGATTTCGAAAATTACGTTGTTAATTCATGTATTATTTCATAAGTCAATCTTGTAGTTTATTGTAGTATAATGTATTTTTACATCCATTTTTTACCGTGTAGGGTTAAGGTCCGGGCACCTTAGATTTTGTATGCTTGTTTGTCTTGTTTTCACAGGCGTTCGCTTTAAAACACTGCATCTTCGTTAGTAACAGAGATAATAGAGTGAATAAAAAAACAAAATGTTCAAAAAAGATTGGGTTACCATTTGATTCCAGTTAACACCCTCTGCTGTAGCATCTGCACTCCACAGGGTATTACAAATTTCGAGAAAAAATGCTTTTCTCATTCTTGCACCCTGTATATGCTCAAATTAATATCCGAATAAAAATTTCTATCGCAGGATTATTACAGAATATATAACAAAAAATATAATGTAAATATTATAATAATCTAATTGGGGAGAATTTTATAAGGTCCATTATACCATCAAATATTATCAGTATTTTGTATAATACTTATTATTCTCTATGCAACATTGCAATCTGGTGGACATCGAATTTACTACTTTTTTGCATACATCCTTGTCGTGAAACAATTCCCACACAACTGTAATGTTGCGGCGCAGATTATCCACGTTGCGAATCGGAAAGTTGGCATTTTTATTGAACTGTTTTTCCACCAAAGCCCATAGATTTTCGATTGGGTTAAGATCAGGTGACCGCGCTGGCAAGGGTATTCGCCTAACCTCATTATTGAATGTATTCAATCGAATTAAATCCTTGATAATTGTGGACGTTTTAAATGGATTGGCGGTGACGTATTCAGCAATTCCCCTTCGTTGAGCATTATTAAGAATAAGCCTTCGGCATGATCTAGATGTCGTAAGGCCAACTTTCCCGTTTTCTTCAAATCTTATTGATAAGCCTACACGTTCGGCAATTTCCCGTTTAGAAGAATAGATCCTTCTTGATGAAGTGCAATAATTGCTCGCCTCGTAGTCAAACCTGACTCTCGTTGACCAGGAGCACGAGGCATGTTGTATTTAAGAAAACGGACAAATTTGAACGGACACGTAATTTTGATATTGATAATTCTATTTAAAATTTGAAGGAAAGTTTCATAAATTAGTATTAAAAGAAAACTATGTGTATTTTAAAGATGGAAATATGGTAAGTTTCATAAAGCTTTATTTATAAGTTTTATATTATATTAATTATATTACTGAGATTTTTATCTGACGTTTTATTTATAGAAATACTCTAAAATCATTTATTAGAGGAACATACAAAAAAGTCGTGTATTTGTTGTTCTTAAAAATATCAAAAAAGATTTAAAATAAAATAAAATTAACACATTTAAAAAAAGTGTGATCCATTTTTCGGCCCACTTCAAACTGGGATGGTTTTACCTAGGTTAAGGAAGAGGGTAACTTCCTTTAGTCTCAGAAATCGAATTGAATAGAAACAAAAGATGTTCCGTCTTCTTCCAGTACCAGCGTCATGTCGGAGCTAACAGCGGACGATTCGCATTAAATCTGAACAGAGCTGTACCTTGTTTAGGCAAATTTCTAAACATAAAAATTACTCTTTTTAGCACGATGTGAATAGGGCAAGTGTAAAATCTGATTAAGTTAAGGTTTAAAAAATTATTTTCGAATTATCGATAACAAAAATATATCACAAAGTATCAATTTTAGCAGTATCAATGATAAAATTAATTATTAGTTGATTGGACAAAAACAAGAGTATTGACTATTTTATTAATTTAACATCAACGGGGAAAGTGTATAACGTATCGCTTTTAAAGTTACTTTTGATTAAAACTCCGGTCATCGAGGTCCCGCCAGTTCTCTTTCATCCCCCTTTCATCTCGTTCCAATAAAAACAATCCGCAAGGAACCTTCCTATTTCTCCCCCTTTTCCGTCAGGATCCGCACCCGCCCCCGGTCACGCTTTAATATCAAGAGAGAGCAAAAATACAGCCTCTCCTTCCTCGGTGTTTATTTCTCCATTCGCCCTTCCGCCTCAGTTCTGCCAATATCCCGGGATACATTTGTCATCCGCCAGACCAGACAGGGCCATAATTGTCGATGGAGAGAAATACGCGCCCGAATACAATTCTTTTTCCTACTTCGAATCGAACGGGGTTTTCCTCTCTTTTCTAAAACCCGTTTCCACCCTCGCCTCCATTATTTCAAATTTAATAACCTCACCTTTCTAATGAATCCCGGATCCGGTCGTCTTAAAGGTGACTATACACAAAAGCTCGAAAACAATGCTTTTGGGAGCTACCAGGTTTTCCTAATTAATCCTTTTCAGTTTCGATTCCTTCGAATCAAATTTAATTGTTTGGTTAGGAAATTAAAAATTTTATTTATTTCATTTCAAATATAATTTAAAGTATTTATAACTTTCGGGCAGTATTTTTTAGCTATGTTAACGTAGGGGTACGAAGAAACGGTTGGCATCTCAACGTTTAAATGGTTCTTAGAGAATGTGTTAAGAGTTAAACTGTTTTTTATTATTTTAAAAACGTTTTCATTTGGGTTTTTGTTATAAAGTATTTTCGAGTCAATCGATGATATTGGGTAAAAAAATTCTTTTGGGAAAACTTTGTATCGAACACATTGTCGTTTTGAGATTATGGTTAAATTTTTTGTGTCGCAAAGTTCTTCGATTAATCTAAAAAAAGTATTATTTGAGACAATTTTTTTTAATTTTTTAAATTTTCTTACTCAGTAATAAAGGGTGAAACACTATTCTCCCCGTTATATCTTAAATTGATTTGATCGATTATTCTAAAGATGTAATTTTCCGCAACGGTATCGTTTTTAAACCCCATAAATGAGGTGTTTAAGGTTTCGCCATCGTACCCAATGAAATTTCCATAAATCCGCTTCAAATCTCGCAAAATAAGGACGTCCAAATCAAGATAAATCCCTCCATATCTGTATAAAGTTAAAAGAGCGAGGAGTTCTTTCACGAAATCCCTGTTTAGTTTTCTCGTATGGAATAGTTTCTCCAAAGGGGTTCCTTTTATATACTTCTTAACATCGAGGTAAATAAAGTTGACGTTCTTATATGATAAGACGGCGTTTAGATACAAATCTTTCTTTCCGCTTCTAATTGGATGGGTGTACAAGACAAAGACTTCTGTATTTTTGTTCGTTCGTGACGCGGCTTCAACCGCACAAGCGTCTCTTTTGGTAAAAACATTCTTACAAGGGGTAACCAAGAAAAAGATTGATTGCGATTTAGGTCGTCTTACGTCGAAAATGCTCGTAAGGTTCGGAAAATCTTCTAAATAATCACAGTGGTGTTTAGAATGTATTGCTAAATATGAATATAGCAGGATTAAAAGAAGTAATTTTAGTAACAAAGCACTAGTGATTAAGAAAATTTTATAGCTTGATTTTGAATTAAATTTGCGATCAATTCTCCAATGTAATTTCATTGTTCAATTAATAAAATGAAGGTGAGTGAAGAGAGAAGCGGAGGTGTTATTGTGTTATGATAAAAATTATACAATGGGTGATTATGTCAAGGTTAGAGATGATTTTGTTTTTAAATCGTTTTATTTTTAAGAGTGAAGGAATGATTTATACTTTAAATTTGAGCTTAAAGATGATTAAAGTGTGATTAACCCTTTGTGTCCCGACGGTACTTTAAAGTACCGGTAGTTTTAAACACTCATTTTAAGCTGTAGTCATCTATTCAGCGCATTTAGAGCTGTCGCTACTTTCTACTATACAAGAAAGAATCTGTATAAAAAATGACACAATCCGCACTGTAGGGTTTTTAGGTATATTTAAACTTATTCGTTCAGATGTGAGGTTAGAAGTTTAGTGAAAGGTGGTCTTGTTGAATTTTGTTGTTCAAAAAGGTATCTCTTTCATAAATGGTTATTAGTAATTTCAATAAACATGGCTTCCAAGAATTTTTAAATTAGCATCTTTTTTGACTCTTTTAAATGTAAGTGTTGTTTCAACATTTTTTTTCTTAATATTTTTCCAATCCAACCCAANGTGTATTTGTTGTTCTTAAAAATATCAAAAAAGATTTAAAATAAAATAAAATTAACACATTTAAAAAAAGTGTGATCCATTTTTCGACCCACTTCAAACTGGGATGGTTTTACCTGGGTTAAGGAAGAGGGTAACTTCCTTTAGTCTCAGAAATCGAATTGAATAGAAACAAAAGATATTCCGTCTTCTTCCAGTACCAGCGTCATGTCGGAGCTAACAGCGGACGATTCGCATTAAATCTGAACAGAGCTGTACAGTTGCAACAACACGTCGAAGTAAACATAATCTTACCAAACGTTCAATCAGGTTTTAGGCATGGTCATAGCTGTACTACTGCTTTAGCGTGTGTCATTGATGATATATTAAGCGCGATAGATAGCGGTTATATGACCATTCTTGTCTTGTTGAGTACACAAGGTTTGTGACACGGTAAGTCATAAGCTTTTGCTAACAATTCTTAAATACTACGGTTTGGATGCTTCCGCGATTTCTTTCTGAGAAAGTTACAAGGGCGACAACAGTTTGGTGCCAATAACAAAGATATCCGTCCGAAAAGTACATAGATGGAAATACAAAAGTAAAGTTTGTTGCCAACCGTAGGCTCCTTTTCAGGAGCGTTTTTTTGACAGACGCCGACAGATATTGACGGACGAAAACTCGGAATAAGATAGTCCAAGGTCAGCTCTTTCTGAATATGTAAATCATTTATTGAATTTAGGTCTGGTAACGGCTGCACAAGGCCGTGAAATTTGGTAATCTTGAGGTAAATCGGCGGACGAAAACTCGGTTTAAGATAGAGAAAAGACCAAGCTTTCCAACCGTGTGCTTAGTTTTTCGCTATCTTTCTAGATAACGAAGATATGGGCCCTAGAAGTAGGTGGAAATATAAACGAAGAAGTTTGTTGCTGGGTGGTTTGTTGCTATCGTCTCGCCGGTCTACAAAATTGTGTTATATCAGACCGATGATTGTTTTAGTTTTGTCTGTGTTTTATTTTGTTTTCTCTTTTTCTTTTTTATTATTATTATTATTTTTTTAAAGTTTAAGTATCATTAGTTAGTTAGTTAAGTTTAGATGTGTTTGTGATGATTACTGGAAGATCACGGATCGTCTTCGACGAATTCTGTAAAATAGCTCATTTTGCTTCCCTCAAATTTATATTGTTACAGCTGTATTTGCTATTAGCAATTCGATATTGCAGTTTTTTTTGCGCCTTATTTCTTTATGTAGGTAAGATAAAGGCGCGACGTACTGTCTGGAACATACCATCTGTTCCGATTGGACGGAACCCTCCTCTCCCCGCAGAACTTACTTCTGTTTCTCTTTAATTTGTAATTCCATTAAATCGCTCTTAAAAAATTAGGGAGCCCTAATTTTGAAAAACTGATAACGGAATCCGAGAACCGACATTATTTGACATATTTTGGTAAAAACCGCGTTGAAATCCGCCAGGTCGTTTTCGAAATAACCGCATCCTACTCAACCGCGATTTTCCACGAAATTATAATGGAATATCGAAAAAATAACCAGTTCAAATTTGAAATTTTTTCATCAAATAGTTTTGGATAAAAAAATCGCAAAGTAGACAAAGTTGCTGGCACTCTCAAAAATGGGGTAGTTTTTTCACTTAACTCGCGATAAAAGAAAAACCGCGGACCCGAAAATTTTCAAATTAACATATGATACGCAGAAATGTTCACTGATTACAATAAACTTTACTGCAATTTTTTCCATCGAGCGTTTACGAAGATATCGATCTCTAAAGTAAGGGGTCTTGACTTTTTGCACGGATAGTAGTCGAATTCTTAATTCCTATAACCAAGGCTTCAACCATGTATCTCTCTTTAACGTTTCTTTACGCTCTTTTAGAAAATGCGTACTAACTAACTTAGCGGATGTTTTGTCGATCGCTTTATTGTTGTATTTATTTTAGTTTAGTTACAATTTTTTATATTAATTTTTCGTTTTAATGAGGATGCTTTGTTGGGGACATTCTCCCTGTATGCATCCCGAATATGTAATAAATAAAATAAAATTACATACAGTACATTTTGGATGTAAAGCATACATGCAAAAAAAGCAGTTTGGAAGCTATGATATGTAACTGATTTTGTCATGATCCGCCAATATTTGATATATTATTATGTAGTTGACTGTGTTTAAGATGTATAAGAAAACCTTTTAGAAACTCACTTTACAATTAGTTATTTATAATTCATGCAACAAAATAAATTATTGAATGGATTAGTAAGAGTAGGAGGGCGTTTTTACATATACTAATAAAATGAATGATTTACTAATTAAAACAATTAAAAAAACTTACTTTCATTTTAATAATTTTTTAATTAGTGTATCATTATGGCTTCCAGGAATTTTTGAATTTGCATCTTTTTTGACACTTAGATTATGCGAAAATGTTAGTTTTTGCTAAATATGTTTTTTCTCAATATTCTATCAGATTTTCGTCGTTCTGTAAAACGACGAAAAAATCTCGTTGGGTTCAGGTTTATGCTCAAAATGTATCAGCTCTAGCATCTCGCCCGCAAGTGACCTTGACGAAGTAAGGACAAATGATTACTTATACAAGTCACATATAAGATATCGTTCACTTACTGTCTTGGAAACTATATAAAATACACTACACTTATATAAAAAATCGTTCAGCCTCACCTCACCGAGGTCGCTTGCGGGCGAGGCGCTAGAGCTGATGTATTTTTAATACAAAGTTGAATTCAATGAGATGTTGCATTTAGTAGCTATGATATCAGTTCCACCGCCTCGCATAGCTCCTAAACGCAAAATGTTATTGCGTTAGGTTCATTTGAGATATTGAAAAGTAAACCAAGTGCATAACATTTTAATAGATGCTATGGTGATTCTTATAAAGCCCGATGTCTCAAGTTTGGAGGAATTATAACCTTATTTCAGGGTCAAGAACTTTCACACACACTTTCTATAGAAACCTTTCCCAACACTCATTTTTGACAAAATGTTGTAGCTGAGCCCTTATAGTTTCGGCAGGAAGCCAATTATACCAGATTTTAGGTTTTTCCAATCCAATATCTTCACTTTAAAATCTGCATTTCAGACCGAAAATAAAACACGTATCCTGTAATAAATCATCAAATCAATTAAATTTGAACAATTTCATACATAATTAAAGTTTCTTTAAGAAAATCGATTAATTTTGATTATAAACTTTTGTAAAATACTGTACCCTTTTGACAGAAATGTATGTCATTTATACTTTAAATTGGAGCTTAAAGATAACAATTATTTTGATGTCAAAGTTGGTTGTCGATGATTATAGAAATTTTTTACTAGTCAATTAAATTTCTTTCAAATTTAATTGGCACTCCAATTATTTCATAAAAACTTTAAAAAAAAATCTCTTGAAGAACGAAAAAGCTTAAAGTCGTTAACCAGATTCGTCGGCGCATCCACCAAAATTTTTCAACCCCCTTTTAAGGAAAGGAAAAAAAAACGCAAAGAAAAGAAGTCAGAACGTCTCGTTGCAATTCCACTTTAAGCGTTGCGAATCCCACCGTTCCCTTATAATCCCGAGGTTAAAGTTCGTGCCGCGTCACTTCGCAAGAACTCGAAATTAGTTTTCCGCGACACAAACGCGGAAAGCGACCGCCTTGAAAGGCAGGTTGAGAAGAAAGGGACAACAACAACACAACGAAAATAACAAAAACGAAAATAACACAAAGAAAATAACTAAAAGAAAATAACAAAAACGAAAATAACAGAAAAGGGATTGTAATCTCGAAGGATTTTTAACTTTTCCAATTGTTCTAGGATACCACCAACATGGGCAACAACCACCAAGGATTACTGAACACCCGGTAGATACAACAGTGGCCAGACACGAACCGGCTACTTTGAATTGTCACGCAAATGGTGAACCAGAACCGACTATAACGTGGTACAAAGATGGGAATATTGTGAGGACAGCCCCGCAGGATGCAAGATCCCATCGGGTGCTGTTACCTGCTGGAAATCTGTTTTTCCTCAAGGTGGTTCAAAGTAGAAAAGACAGCGACGCCGGGGTGTATTGGTGTGAGGCGAACAATTCTCTCGGGAAGGTTCGAAGTAGAAATGCTACGTTGGTCGTCGCCGGTAAGTAAACAGATTTAAAAAATGGATTGAAATTTCAATTAAAACTTCAAATTCCTCGATTGTAACAATCCGGTTGTTATCGTATTGAAAAATTCCATGAAACCAATTTAATTAAATTAATAAAATAAAAGTTTTTTAGTTAATGTTTTAAAACACAATCACGTCCAGCGAAACAATGTTGTTTTCGAAAACAAATTTATTTTTTATTGGAGAAAATAATTTTTTTCATTATTCTCACTTTTAAGAAACGTCAAATCAAATAGGTTATCTTTAAAATTTTGTATGAAATGGAAATTCGGGAAACTTGTAATTTGGTACAAATGAACCTCAAACCTTCCTTAATAACCTTACAAAGTTTCATTTCTTGATTCCTAACCATTATGGAGAAAATAATTTTTTTCGTTAACCTTACTTTTGAGAAATGCCAAATTAAACAGGTGATTTGTAAAAATTTATATAAAATCAACTGTTCATTCTGGAAACTTGTAATTTGGTACAAATGAACCTCAAACCTTCCTGTACAACCTCACAAAGTTTCATTTCTTAATTCCTAACCATCATGGAGAAAAATATTTTTTTCATTAACCTCACTTTTAACAAACGTCAAATGAGTTAGGTGATTTAAAAAAAATTATATAAAATTAACTAATAACTCTGGAAGTTTATAATTTCGTACAACCTAACCTCAAACCCTCCTTTATAACCTCAAAAAGTTTCATGTCTTAATTCCTAACCGTTATGGAGAAAAATTTTTTTTTATTGAACCTAATTTTCAACAAACGTCAATCTCAAAGTAGCGTTTTTTTTTTTGGCATTCATGCATATAGAAGATTAAGATCAGCAAAAAAAGTTAAATTAAGGTAAAAATATTAATTCACTTCCCTTTCCACCCCATACAATAACCTAAAAAGTTAAAATTTGAACTTTAAAGTTAAATTAAAATTCAACAAACAAAAATTAAATTTAATTAAAGTAACCGTTTTATCTTCGAAGACAATCTTAATGGTAGATTCAAAAACGTACGACGTTTCTGCCCATTTTACATCTGGAAAGGGGACTAAACACCGTCTAATTGTATTCGAGCCGAAACGTGCCGGTGTAATTGGCGATTTTCCAACGGAATTTCCATGGAAAGGGTCTCGGCGCGTATGCCTCTCTTCATCCCGATAAGAGCAGTGGCGCACGTCTGGCGAGCACCAGTCAAAGGGCACCCCCAAAAACCCAACCACCCCCACACTGAATACGTACGTAGATTGCATCAACGGTTGTAAATTTCAATTGGGGAACCATAACCGGGAGACCGGCAAAGTTTTGCCCGTTTATGGTTTGCAAACACGGAATCAAATTAGAATAGTATGAAAATCAAATAAAGTAAATAAAGAATACTGCGCGGAATTTAATGATTAAGTTGGAGAGAGTTTAACTTGTTTATTATTTGGAAAGTAAATGTTAATCTTCCCAAAACAACCCGCGGACCTATCAGTGTTTGAATCCGGTAGGAATTTACATATTGTTTAGGGTAGTGTGCCCCCTTCGTTGTTTTCATTGCATTAATAGCCTGTTTGTGCAAGTTGTAACTTCGTCAAAGTTTCCAAAATAATTGTTTTTTTTTTGATTAATTCTATTTATAAATATAATTTAATCAACTTCCTTGATTATTCACACTTTATCCGAGAATTCCGAAGAGCTTCGACCTAATAAACTATTCACCACCCGCTAGATTATTAAACTGAGTCCGGCTATTGTCCGAAATTTCCATATTCAAAGCTTTGACGAGGTTCGCCATTGAGTGGTACGCCACTGATGTCCTAAACAAGGCCGCTTTATCGCCCCCTCCATTTTACCGCAACGCGGAATGTCGAATTTAATATGTCATCGCAACTGGAGTAATTATTAAACACCATGTATAAATTTGTAAATTTATACATTTTTAATTTATAAATTTTCGATATTCTCATCGCATGTCCAACGGTCGTAACTCATAACTGATTCGGAGAAAAGAAGTAAATAAACGAAAACGAACGTTTTTCATTTCCTCGTTCGATGAAGGGGGAAAAATATTTATGGAATAAATTGTAGAAAAGAAACGGAGATAATTTTTCATTTACTACTCACTCAATTAGCTGTCAATTGATGGGTTGAGAAAGAAAAAAAAAAAAAACACCCCACGATAACCAACCCGCACGCCAATGGTGCCAACTACGTGTGTAATTGAGTTGCTCTCGCCCGATTTGGTTGCCTAATTGCCCGACGATTGGACCCCCAACGACTCCGGGGACTGTCTTTTACATCGTCCATGTCAAAAACACGATGGAAAAAATTTTTCCTTTAGGTTATGAAAAAAATTTGATGAAGTTTATAAATTATTTATCAATTAATAGCTTGTTGTTTGTTGAATGTAACTTTACATGGTTAATTTGTTAAATTAAGCGTTGTATATTGATGTTTAACTACCGAACTTCATTTAACCGTTATATTTACCTCGAAATATGTCCGTGTTAATTATGTACGCCATTCAAATTATAAAGTAGAAATTATCTAAACAAATACATGATATTAATTAATTGGTAATTAACTTTTAATATATATATAGATATATTGCTAGTGCAAAATATCTCTGATAAAAATAAAATGTTGGCATTGTTGTCATTTGGAAATAAGAACATCGTGGAAAAAAGCAACATATCATTTTCAGGCACAAATTATTGCCAGAAAAAATGTTGAGAAAGAAAATATTTTGAGGGAAAATAACATCTCGGGCGGAATAATTAATATCTGCGAGTGCAAAATGTTTTTGACGGAAATAGTCATACTCAGAAACAAAATGTCAAGGTAGAAGGAGATAATAGCTAAAAAGTGAAATATCGTGACCGGAAATAATGTTTTGATCGTTTGCGAAAGAGAAAATTAAAGGCAGAAGTAAAATATAATTGGCAGGAATAAAATATTATATATAAATGTAAAATATAGAATATGGCAAAAGAAACATGACTACTATTTGTGCAAAAAGTCAAGGAACCTCACTTTAGAGATCGATATCTTCGCAACCGCTCCATAAAAAAAATTGCAACAAAGTTTGTTGTAATCACTGAACATTTCTACGTAACTTATGTTAATCTGAAAATTTTCGGGTCCACGGCTTTCTTGTTACCGCGAGTTAAATGAAAAATGTACCCGATTTTTTACACAATTGGCAACTTTATCAACTTTGCGATTTTTTTTCTCGAAAACTATCGTACGAAAAAATTTTTATTTTGAACAGGTGGTAGTCTGATGTGTTCTCAATGAGTGGCATGTTTTATTTTTTCGATATTTCATACATTTTCGCGGAAAATCGCGGTTTAGTAAGACGCCGTTATGTCGAAAACGGTTGGGTGGATTTCTTCGCGGATTTGACCAAAATATGTCAAAAAATGTTGGTTGTCGGATTCCGTTATCAGTTTTTCAAAATTAAGGCTCTCTATTTTTTTAAGAGCGATATAATGGAATTACATATTAAAAAGAAACAGAAATAGGCTCTGCGGGGTGACGAGGGTTCCGGCCAATCGGAACAGATGGTGCATCCTAGACAGGACGTCGCGCCTTATTTCTTTATGTAGGCAAGATAAAGGCGCGACGTACTGTCTGGGACGCACCATCTGTTCCGATTGGACGGAACCTTCCTCTCCCCGCATAGCTAATTTCTGTTTCTCTTTAATTTGTAATTCCATTAAATCGCTCTTAAAAAATTAGGGAGCCTTATTTTTGAAAAACTGATAACGGAATCCGAAAATCCGTATTATTTGATATATTTTGGTAAAAACCGCGTTGAAATTCGCCAGGTCGTTTTCGAAATAACCATATCCTACTAAACCGCGATTTTCCGCGAAACTATATGGAATATCGGAAAAATAAAATATGCCCCACATTAAGAACACATCGGTTTACCACCAGTTCAAATTTGAAATTTTTTCGTCAAATAGTTTTGGAGAGAAAAAATCGCAAAGTAGACAAAGTTGTTGGCACTCTCAAAAATTGGGTACTTTTTTTCACTTAACTCGCGATAAAAGTAAAACCGCGGACCCGAAAATTTCCAAATTAACATGTGATACGCAGAAATGTTCACTGATTACAATAAACTTTACAGCAATTTTTTCCATCGAGCGGTTACGAAGATATCGATTTCTAAAGTGAGGGGCCTTGACTTTTTGCACGGATAGTAGAAACAAGGCGTAATGCTGCTCATTATGCCGAATCCAACCGAACCTAAGTAATATGGCAGATGAAAATCATCGCATACATTAAGCATGTTTGTTGAAGAAAGTATCTAAGATAGAAGTAAAACATCATAAGCAAAAGCAAAATGTTATATAATAATCGATGTCTTGAACAGAAGCAAAATATCATACTTTGGAACTAAGTATTATGACCGGAACCAATATCATGAAACAAAATGTGATGGCAGAACTAAGGCATTACGATATTTTCAATTTTGGCCTTTAGGGGAAAAACAAAAGACGCTTTGAGGTTTTTGGTTTCTCGAAAAACGAGATCATGACATGTAGCCTACTTTTTTCTAACACTTATAGTTTCCCAGATAGCCTAATCGGACATCGAATTTGAACCACCCTGCACAGAACCAAAATATCATGGCAGAAGATAATCATGATATTAGTATTTTGTTTCGGCCATCTTGGATTTTGCAAAAAAAAGATAATTTCGATGTTATTATACCAAGAAAGGTCGTGTCAAAAATATTATTTTTTGTATTAAAGTCCCTAGATTATCAAAGTACCACGGTTCATGAAGTCTGTGTATTCGAAATATTCGAGCTAAAATGGCGGTTTGACAGCTTGTCAGTGCATGTTATCACTTATTTCTAAAAATAATGCAGTCTTGTTGCCTTTTTAGTTGCAAAAATAGCAGTAAGATGGACTTTCGACTCTTCGGAGTAACACGAGAAAAAAGAAGAAAGGAAATTTGGCGTAATTTTATCAACAGAACGGCGTAGTTTTAAACTT